TTTCATTATGTGTGTGTATTCCTGTTCAGCTGGCTATTAATCATTTTCCGAGATGAACAAAAGAAGAGTCCACACAGCTGACCAAACAGAGGTCTCCCTAATGAATGTGTTAAAGCTTATATATTGTACAACGACACTCGGGTCTCGACTGCTGCCTCCAGGCTAATGTTTCCTGCTAATCTCGAAGAGTAAAGGAAACACTACCCGTTAATAACGGATCCTTACAAAGACTTTTTATAAAATCATGCTTCAAGAACTGTACTGGAAGAATCTAGTTATTTATCTAGTAACGCGGACTTGCAAACTTGAAAGTACAATGTTTAGATTTTGCTTTTTATTTAGAGAAATGTTATGTCTTAATCATTCATTTTTGAAGAGTGTTTTATATTTCATTAATATTTATCTTGGATTTCTTTTCTTTTTTTCCTTCTTTTTTTTTAAATACTCTGCTAGTTGAAGCACTTTGTCATTATCATTGCCAATATTAAGCCAAGTATAATCGTTTGTTTTTGGTTCCATTCAGGTATCACTTTATTTTGAGGGTCCCTTTAATGCATTTTGTTGAATTTAAGTTGCATTTGCATCTACATGCCAACTAATTCTCAATAGATTATAAGTAGACTGTCAGGTTAGGGATAGGGTTAGTGTAAGTTGACATGTACAGGACTTGCCAAGTTTCTTATAGCCAGTTAAATGTTAAACGAGCAGTATCAGCAAATATTAAGCAGACAGTCTACTAATACTCAAATGAGAATTAATTGGCATGTAGTTGCAATGCAACTTTTAGTCATATGTGCTATAGGGACCATAACAATAAAGTCTTACCCAATTTGGAATATCCACAACCATTGCAGAGCCGCAGGGATCAGAGACAGGCTCCAGCTTGGCCTCCCCCTGATCCATTATCTTGTAATTCTACTTCGTCAATAAAACATTTGCCCTATAGTTTTACATAAAGTGAGAAAAATGATCACATATCAATAGGGACGGTAATGAAGTACTGAGACTATACTTTATTGGTAGTTCAATTTAAAAATGATAAATAATAAAAGATGAGCTCTGACATTAACAGTTCTGCGATCAGTACTGGAGTATTATTGCTAACTAAACTTTGCCTTACAGTAGCATAATTTAACTGACCAACCTTTTTCTAATTTGCAATATTTGATATTTGTCTACACTGTTGGCAATCTCACGTGAGAAATATTCATCACCCAACAGTACGACGAGCGCACCAAGTCTAAAAGCTTTCAGTTTTTGGCTGTGCAAGCGCACTCAGTGGAGGCTCGCACTGCGGACACTCATGCCAAGCGCACGCACATAACATTAGACTCACACGCACACAGGCTTGCGCTTATAGAGTGATGACAGTGGAAAGAACCAAACAGTCAAAAGTTTGGTTTCTCGAGTGGACACCGACACTGCTCATTGCAACATACACAACAAATTGCTTTCTTGTAAAAGCAGAAACACAAGCAATCTGTCTAAGCATCTTCCAAAAGTGCATTAACCGCTGACAAATGCAAAGTTTTTAACTGCTTAGATATTAACAGTACATCATCCACATTTTCAGGTATGTATGCTAGCAGTCAGTCATATAAGGTCTCTCTAATATAGTATAATATTAATAGTTTAATAAACACGCACATTCAGTAACTGAAATTAGTATTTTGTTCTGCAGTAGCCTAAATAAAGCTTAAACATTAAAAATGCTTTTACATCACTGCATTTACAAAAAGATGAATAATAAAACTACACTCTGCTTATTAAGAAATAATAAAAAAAGCTCATTTTTACATTGCAAGAAGATCCAAAACTTTATTGAATTTTAATCTTAAAGACAGTTATTTATGTGAATGTGTTAAAGATAATTTATAAAAATTAACCAAAGTTGATTGTTTAACAGCATCTTGTAAATCAAATAGGGTGTTTTCAACTGCAGGGAGCACAAAAAGCCAAGAAAGGTCCTGACTTCCTGCCAGAAAAGGTAAACGTTGATTTTTCTCCAGAAGAATGATTAAAAACAGAGTCATTTACAGCCTACCTGGATGCTCCTACTGTGCTCCTTCAAACCATTGTACATTCTTTTACAGATTTGTTTTATTTATTTGTTTTACAATTACTTGTTTCATTTAATTTTACATGAAAAAAGGTAATAATAAAATAAATTGTTGCTGATTGTTTAAAAACACTACAAAAAGTACAAATAGGAGTACTGTTAAAGTAAAAAAAAAACGATAATTGGTATGGATATAAGTAGTAATACTGTTAAAACCTTAACGATACCCATCCCTACATATTATTGAGTAGATTTTCAGGTATATACTTTAAAATGTATAAAACAGTTCTCTCTATGTGGACAATCATATAAACTATTAATTGATTGAACTTACAGAAATAGTACAATATTTTAATATTTATCATTCATTCATTTTCATTTCGGCTTAGTCTCTTTATTAATCTGGGGTCGCCACAGCGGAATGAACCGGCAACTTATCCAGCATATGTTTTATGCAGTGGATGCCCTTCCAGCAGCAACCCATCTCTGGGAAACATCCATACACACTCATATACTATGGACAATTTAGCCAACCCAATTCACCGTGACCACATGTCCAGGGAAACCGGAGCACCCGGAGGAATGCAATCCGATTGCAGAGAGTACATGCATACTCCACACAGAAATGCCAACTGACCCAGCTGAGGCTCGAACCAGCGACCTTCTTGCTGTGAGGTGACAGCACTTCCTACTGTGCCACCGTGTCGCCTGTGACATTTATCTTTTTCAGGATATAGAATGACTTATATGGGATATGGGGTTTTTGTCGCAGACCGAATGTGGACCAGACTTTTAAGCAGTGGCACAAAACTGAAGGGGGGTTTGTAACAACAATCAGAATTCTAATATAGTCAACTGTATATTAATTAAGAACGCACAAAATCTAAATATATACTATGAGACTGCATTCACCTAAGCTTGGCAGAGATTGATAAGTTCATGAAAGTCAAAATGAGAACACACAAAATGAACTCACCTTTGATATTGATTTTCATGAGTGTGAGTAGTGATACCTACCCAAAATTTGATTTAGGAAATCAAAGACACAGAGGACATCCACAAAAGCTAAAGCAATTCCTAGACCTGTATTGATCACAGAAGCGGAGGCAAGTTCTACCTTCATCGATTTCAGACAAAAAAGAAAAACATCATTGATCTAGGTATTTGAATGAACATTTGACTTTAGAGTCACGCTGAACATAACATCTGAACACAGATTCTGTTTCTGGAGGATTATTCAGAGTTTCACAAATTTCCGTTTGTTTGGGTAAAATGAGTGAATACTGGATGAAATTTTACTTTGACCATTTTAAAAAATGAAGCACAATCTTTCCTCCCACTTTTTCTGAACATGGCATTGAGAGCAAAAAAAAAAAAAAAACACAGCTCAATGATTGTACACCCTAAATATGAATGAAGTTTACATTCCTGATTAAATAGTCATACAGTATTACTGGTAATATTCTCAGTATACACATTTTACAATAAAGGATCGGTATGATGTTTTATTGATCACAGCTGTGAAAAAATAAGAGACCACTTTATTTACATTCATTCATTCATTCATTTTCTTTTCTGCTTAGTCCCTTTATTAATCCGGGGTCACCACAGTGGAATGAACCGCCAACTTATCCAGCACATTTTTACGCAGCGGATGCCTTTCCAGCCGCAACCCATCTCTGGGAAAACTTTATTTACATATATAAATATAAATGAATAGTTATGTGTTTGCAGTGCTGCCAGATATAGCTGACTTTTTCCAGCTCAAATGTTGTCCAAAACCCACCAAAACGCACAACAAAGGCCCAAAATATTACATTAATATTTTATTTAATTTTAAGTTATTTAAATCTAAATTAACTTGGTTACTTTAAATGTCATCATTTGTAACCATACAGCAACCAACACCACAGAACCACAACATAACCAGGTCTCATCAAAACACTGCACTTAATGTTAAGAGTATGTTTTACTTTCGAAAGGGGGTATACTGTAAATTCATCTTATTTGGTGTTTTAAATTCTTTTGAACATATTAAGGTTCTGATTGTCGATCAGACAACGCTTCTATGATTGTTCCTGCTGTCAATTGTAAAAATTGTCATGATAAACCGCTCTGAGTTTAACTGCAGACGCTGCGTGATGTGCGTGCACGCAAAAGGGAGTCAGATTTGTCCAGGGAGTAAGATTTTGATACAACTTTACTTTATCATTTAAAAAAATAATAAAACTTCAAATAAAAATATTTTTGAAATGTGGAATCAATACTATTATGTTTATATAATGAAACAAATATTAATAATGAACTCAAAAAGCAGCTGAAGTCAGAAGCCCTCCTGAATTATTATCCCTTCTGTATATTATTTTCCCCAATTTCTGTTTAACTGAAAGAAGATTTTTTTTTTTTTTACAGATTTCTAAGCATAATGGTTTTAAGAACTCATTTCTAGAAACTGATTTATTTTGTCTTTGTCGTGATGACAGTACAAAATATTTTACTAGATATTTTTCAAGACACTTCTACTCAGTTTAAGTGCAATTTAAAGGCTTAACTAGGTTAATTAAGTTATTTGGGCAAGTTAGTTCTGTAGACTATCGAAAAAAAATTGCTCAAGGGAGCTAATAATATTGACCTTAAAATGTTTTTTTTTTAAATATATAATAATAATAAAATAAATAAATAAAAATAATAATAATAAATATATATTTTTTCAGTACTAATTAATATAATTTTCAAAAGTACAGCCTTTAAAACATAAATCTTTTTTAACATTATAAATGTATTTACTGTCAATGCTGTATAAAGCTATTAGCTTACTAAAAAAATCGTTGGACAATAATGTACAGTATACACTTAGAACACAGACAAATCTAAGCTTGAAAGTGAACAAAACAGCCATACCAAAATTCAATTCAGGGTCATTCATGATTGTTGTACTTACATTGATCATAGCATTGGAGGTGATGCGAAAGAGTGTGGCTCTCTCGTTGACAGCCTTTATCTTCTCTCCTCCTTCCAGAGGCACACGTAAGGTTTCGAGCTCACTCAGAGATCTCTGCAGAGCTGCTCCGTGCTTGGCTATCAGCTCATTGCATGTGCTCAAATCGTCTAGTTTACTGGCCAGAGTCTTCAACGTGCCCTGGATCTCACTGTGGTCTGACTGAGAGGTGGGCTCCTCGTCTGCAGAGTCATCTAAACACACACAAACGAGTTTAAATGAATGTTTCAGGAATAGATTTCTGGAAAAAATCCCCAGAGCACCATGTCCACACAATGCATTTTCCAGCTGTTCTCATTAATGAATCCGAGGCCACAGCTTCTCCTAATTTCCCTCATTAATTAATGCTGATTTTACAGGTGGTTGGAGCTGCAATGCCAGTCGATTATAATTAGCATAGTCACTTATGCAAACAAAGCACAAACATCCTAAATCAACACACACACACATGCAAAATAGATGGTGGACCAGTGTTAATTTCGTTGACGAAAAAAACAAGTTTCTACCTACAAAAATTTGACGAAAGCTAAATAAAAATTAAGTTATGATGTCTACAACTATAATAAAAATATACTGACATTTTAGCAACCTAATAAAATGAGACAAGAATGTGATTCACAATTAATCTTGGTGTGTAATGCATGAGGCACACACATTTGAAAAGTAACTGAGCCACAGTAGACATGGGATGTGATTACATCATCATAAGTGCAGAGTAGATTTATAATAATAATAATATTAATAATAATAATAGTTTTTTCTTATATAGTGCCTTTAAAACTTAATTCTCAAAGCGCTTTACACAAACAAGACAGATATAAAACAGTTTAGAATAACAATAAAATTGAATCATTCAGGCTAAAACATTAAAAATTGCTAAAACATTTAAATATCTAGAAATATGAACCAAAAATGCACATCTTATGAATAGGCGAGTGTAAAGTTGTGAATTTTCAAGGATGATTTAAACAATTTATACCATCTTAAAGATACTGGAAAACTGCTACTGCATTACTGTAGATTCTATAGGAAATTATTAAAAGTGTATGAAGTATGATGTATGTAGTGTATCAAAACTAAAACTTTATTTGCATGGATTTCATTAGCAAAAGCGATATAAACAAAATCTCATATTTAACTTTACAATATTATTCTTTTTTTTTTTTACAGTAAGTCAATGAACTTATGGCTATAAGAATTGGTTACAAAAAAGCCGCAAACAAGTAATTTTTTCTGAACTTCAGCTTCCATAATCTCAAAGCCAGTGTTTTATCATTGTTTTATAAAGTTTTTTGGTTAAATACCTAAAATAAGATCTTAGTTAAACATAAACTGAAAAGATTTTCATGTTATATTGACATAAAATAACAACAGCTACGTGGCTAAAAATGATATTAAGTGTCTTCACACTAAACAGGTGAATTAATCCACCCAATAATTTGCTTTCAAAAGCCTTGCTGCATTTATCATCTCACTCTTGCAAAATACAAACTATTCTAACTTTTATAGATTCCAATAACATCCACATCCTAAACTTTAATGCATTTTTTTCTGCTGTTGAATATATTTATTTATAAAGAAGCATGGAAAAAAGTCACTGACATTCCATTTTAGGAACAAAAATACTATGGAAGTTAATGGTTGTTTTTTCCAACATTCTTCAATAAATCTGCCTTTGTGTTCAACAAAAGAAACTCTTTTGAAGAAAGGTTTGGAACAAGTCGAGGATGATTAAATGGGAACTATCCCTAAGTCAGAGATGCCAAAGTGGGCCATGGGCCAAAGTTTGCGTATGGTAACCTTTGATTTGGCCCGCCATCCCATCTGAAAAAAGAGGGAGAAGGATGGGGTTGGTTTAGAGGTAGTAATTTCAAATTGTCACCTGACAGATAGATAGGTAATAAATTAGGAAATTACCCATGTCAACGTTAATGTAAAATAGTTTAGTATATTTATCTTTGGCCCATGGCTATCAATGCTATTTGTTTTTTGGTTTTGGGCACTCCTCCTTTAAGTCATGCAAACATAAGTACATTATGACCTTTTAAAAGTAACTTTTATAAAGATTCTTGACAAACAAGTCATGAAAGAATAATAAATGAGCTTATTTTCCAGAATGAATGCAGGAATGACGTCAAAACCTGAAAGATTAATTTAGCACTGATTTCTATGGGGGTTTTATCATCAAGGTTTACAATTAATGAGTGAAATATGATCTGTGGTAATTGCAATAGGACTTGAACGTTTTGTTCTACAGCATAAACATCAAAGACTTGCACCCTATAATAATAATTACTTAGTTACTTATTTAAAACATGTTTCATTAAGCACAACTAACAGTTAAAATGTTTAATTTATTTTGTATTGTCAAGTTATTTCTAGAACAAAAAATCTAGAGGGAATTATTATTTTGGGGTTTTGTTGTCATTGGCTTATTTTGTCTTGAAGACCAGAATGATGCTAACTTAAAGTTGGCCAATAAAATGCAATCATACTCGAAGTGCAGCACTTAACTGGGGAGGTCTTTCTAAAACTCTCCATTTGTTTCCTCTTAAGTACTGTATTTCTTTGTGTACCGAAAATGTCAGCTTTCATCAGATGATGCTTTCATCTTAATAGCTGTGAGTAAAAATAAAAACTCTAAGACCATCATATTGCTTATTTAAGAAGAACACTAAGCGGTAGTAAAGCTCACATAAAATGACTTACAGTAACCCACGTCTGCGCTGATGTCTAGGCTATAAACCTTCGCTAGTGGAAAGGATGTGCTTAAAATAAATTTGTGATAAATAATCTGGATGCCCAAGTGTTCGCTCTGAATGATTCCACAGCTGCTATCATTAATGTTCATTGGCATGTGTGGACACGCTCTCGCATACACACACACGCATTACATATTTTCACACACACGATGACTCCCTTCCAGCGACTCAAGTGGAATAAATCGAGAGCAAATGGAGAAAGGCATTAGAGCAGAGTTAAGATCCTGATGCTTAGTTAAGGCCATGACAAAAACATGCAACGCTGGCACAATAAGACAGTTTCTCCAGAGTCAATAGCTGCATTTTCGTTACTCTTCAAATACTGAAGAAGCGACTCAACATGCACCTAATGGAAAAACGTCACTATCACAAAAATTCCCAGAAATCACAAAAAAAGTTTTTCCGCTCACATGAGGTGCCTTTTCAGACAATTATTTAATAAAAAAATTATAATTTCATAAAACTTCAATGAGACGTTTTAAGAGAACTATGTTGAAAGTATGTGCTTTGTTTCGAGTAAGTTACGTAAGTTACGAGCCGGGGCAGGGGTTGGTGCTGGAAGGGCATCCGGTGCATACAACATATGCTGGAACAGTTCACTCTAAAAAATATTGCTTAGACCAAACAAAAAAAATCAACGCAACAGTTTGCATCAATATTTTCAAGTTACGGCAACATCTAACAAAATGAAGTTCAGACAGCAAACTTTATTATGTTAGCCAAATTACCTTTACCTCTTCAATCAGAGGTATTTTTACATAGCATAACCTCAATTTTTTTAAGTTGAGTACTTAAAAAATTAAGTTGTTCCAACTAGCTTTTTTTATTAACATTTAAACAAAAAACAGTGTTATGTACTTAATTACCATAATTATACATGCTAGTTTTCAAGTTTAGAATCTCAAAAAAATTAAGTAGCTGAAATTAAATTTTTTGTTTGTTTTCATATTATTGTTAATTTAGGTGCTTGTAAGAAATACATTTTTAAACAACAGCAATTTTAACTTCAGTAACTTTTTATTTATTTAGAAACACAGTTTTCAGTGTTTTATTTTAAATATTGCACTTCTCAAAGTTTACCAAACACAAACTTGTACTGTCTCACAAATTATAAACAAACTGACCCGTCAGCTTTGCCTTCAAAAATGTGCATGCATGCATAGCTATGCCATCACAATGAATTCCAACAAAACAAGAGTTATAGGCATTGATACACTTAAAGCTAACTATTAACTTATAAATTGTACATTTTACAAACTACTTGTTATTAGCTAACCTTAATTGTAAAACATATAACATTTGTATTATTATAAACAAACATATGTAAATGCCACCATTCATATAAACAGTATGAAATAAAAAGATCAGCATGTGGACTTCAAAATACAAAACAATATAGTTGCAACAAAAAGAGCAAAATGTACTTTGAAATAAGTAGAGGCTTCAGAAAATGCTATTCTTGAGACGCATTACTTTTGCACTGGGCGTCAGTCCATCAAGTTCAAGAAACAGCTTCTCAAACACTTAACAAGTATATTTAAGCTCCTTGGGGTAGCTCAGATTCAGAGCATATATTATGCCCGTTAGCAGAGCACAACACCTTGAGATATCCATTCCAATCAGGATTCTGATTCCCTCAACAATGATGGTTTCCGTCTTGTGGTTTAATTCCATAGTTGACAGATCACCAATGATTCTTGTGTATTCTTGTAAAGAAAGATAAAAAAATAGATTAGCATGATAGAGACAATTAAATTTATAATTACTTCAGTTTTTTATTTTACTTGCATTTGATTTCAGTTAATCTCTGGAAACTTTGTTTTATTTTACCCCTTACATGGTCATGCACCCAGCTACTCAATCATAAGAATAATTCGTTTCACAATGTAATTTAAATGGAAAAGTGAAACGCAACAGTCATACCCATTTTACAAATCTTTCTCATTATTTTCAACATCTGTTTATTGAACTAAATAGTACATTGTTATTATAACACAGAGCTAGGTAAAACCAGTGTGTGTGGACAATGTAATATACCTACACATTAAACTAAAAGAAAGCAGTCATTGAGCATATATTTTGTCTTGTATGTTTCCACTGTCAAGGGAAGATTTAATTTTAATTTAAAAACATTGTAATACTCACAGCAAACTCCTTAAAAAGATCCTCTTCTTTCTCTCCAAGATAGACAACAAGACAGTGAATGGCTACTTCTCTCCATACTTCAACTGCATTGTTCTGTTTAATTAGAAAAATATATATCAAGATAAAGTACCTACAGTAAATGAATATAGTTTTTTCTGAACAAACAACTGATGGCAACCTGACAATTTAACACAAATCTAAACTATTCTAGTGTGTACAAATTATTTACAATACCTCAAGAAGCATATCCTTAATCCTTCTGATTCTTTCCCCTTTAGCTCCTCCCC